CAATTGTAAAAAATCCGCCCCCACTTTATCTGGATTAGACATAAAAAAAGTGTGCGTGGTGATAAAAATGTTCGGTAATTTCTCTAGTCCTCCTCTCGTTGTACAGTGGTTTTAGACTGTTAAAAACACTACTTTCCGCTTGGTATAGTGCATTAAGTCTTTTCTCTGAGATATAATTAGGTATATTAGCACACGCATTGTAAGAAAACCTCAGGCATTTAAGAGTTACAGCTGAGCTTTGTGAAGATCTAAAAAATTGTCTTTGAATTTGTAGAAAAACTCTGGCAAATTTATCGATATAATGAGTCTTATAGAAAAGAACACTGGTTTTGAGGCCGATAAATGTGCATAGGCCAAAACAAAACCGAAATTGGCCAATTTGGGTCAAATCTACCGCTCTTTATTTTTACAGTCAGGCCGGTCAGTGATATCATAATTTCTGTCCAGTGTGGTAATTTCGCGCAATTATAGAACATGGAGAACAACCATCTGTTCTCAAGTGATTAATTATACAGGAGTTCCACTAACTATTGATAACATCTTCACCGGACTATATATTGGACATTTAGCTTTTCATATCACTCACTTTTAAACATCAGCAATGAAGGTGATAGCGCTTTTGACGTTCCTGGGTTTCCGTCTGAATCCCTACACAGTTTCTGCGCGGTTGAACCCAAAGGCGATTATATACGACTCTTTGAAGGTAAGTTTTGTACAACGAAACATTATCCTCTTACATCATTGTAAAAAGTGATACCGACCAAGAAAATGAGTAAATATATGATATGGCAGCTCGAGCTTTAAGAAATTTTATCAACAGGGAAAAAATGGTTTTAATTTAAATGTAAAGAGCCGTTTTTCCACTTCATCGCGTCTGAAATTACGTGTTAAACAAACTATGCTCAATAAATAGCTAACAAATTTGACCTCTAAAAGAAAGAAGTTGACAAAATTCAGAAAGTTCGGAAAATTAATATTTTAAAATTTTTTTTTTAAAAGAAGCAGTGAGAATGTATCGATTGTGAAAGCAAATTTATTGAATGAAGAATTGTACCTTCAGCCTAATCGAGGTAAATGTCCTGACTCTTACCGCCCACTGAAACAGAAGACTCTGAAGTTTAATAAACGATAATGCAAACGCGATAACAAAATTAAAATAAAAACTGATAATGGTTTTCTTTCATGGAAACCGAGACGTTTAAAATTTTTGGGTTAATTTACTCGTACTCTGTTCCATTTTCATTTTTTTTTCTGTTGTAAATATTAAAGATCTTGGTCAAAATCCATGTACCAGGTTTCAATTTTCCGATCTCTTTAGCCTTTACCAAAGACTTCCCCTTTACAGAAAACTCCTCGAGACAGGTGTAAAATAAGCGTGGCATATTTATTAAAGTAATGTTGTGCCTGTAAATATATGAAGGAATCAATTGCTGATCTATCACGCTATGAAAACATGTAGACACAGGCCTTCTATTTCTGGTTTGAAATCCCTCTCGAGTTGACGTGACATCCTCTATAAAACGTTTTGGTTTTCCCGAGGGCTTCCTGGAATTTTTTGAAAAATCAGGGACATTGCAAGGTTTAAAGATAACTAAGGAGAAGTTAGTGAAAATGATACTAAATTTTTAATAATTTTCATTCATAATACTGATGACACGGACTAGTATCAACGCTAGCTGGTATTATATATTGCTTTGACATGTTTCCAATTAAATAACACGCCCCCGCCAAAATCATTTGATCATGATATGATGCCAGATAAAACACCCACTCTACCACCGATGATTTTTATAAATAGAAAATCTTTACGATTTTTTTTTAATTTTGTAAAGTGACATTAACTCTGATAAACCCAGTGGGGACGAGCTATGAACTCATATATGTATGTGTATAAGTTTGTAAGTACTGATGAAGAGAAGGCGTGCTTGATTAAACGAAAAAGTGCTTTTTCTTTGACAAAATAGACTTCTGACGCGTTGTACAAGTACAAGACAAGAGAAACGAGCATGGCCTCCATTTCAGAGCGTCAGTTGGGAAAACGGGTCTCAAATGAAAACGGTCCAACACAACGCAGTAAGAAACACCTTCCTTTGTAGTATTTCTTCGAGATGTCACGCAACGGGAGGGAGCGTTGCGTTACATCTTAAAGTACAGCTGCGAGACTATATATGAATTAGTGAGGCAGATTTCCTTCCTTTTTCTTCTTTCTTTGTTTTGTTTTTTTAATCTGTTTGTACCTGCCCTGGGTGCCTACTCTTAAAACAAAGTTTATTATCTCTTCCTTGCAAACTAAAATGCTCTTAAAAGACTAGTGATTCTCCAAGTAACACTCTATCTTTCAAATTTGTTCGACCATTTTCTACATGAAGACCACTAAATGTATTTATCTAAAAAAAAATAACCTATGAGAAGATAAATTTTGCTTTACATTGACCACTCAGCATAATTAGCTCTCGTTCAGTAGACTTCAAAAGAATACGGAAGCAGTAGATTTTACCGGCAAAAGGGAGAAGTTTCTGCCCGGAAAATTTTCAAAAAAACTATCTTGCGCTTGACCCAGTGCTGGGCGCCGAAAAAATTGAAAGTGGGCTGCTTTCATGATAGGGGTGGAACAGGAGAAAGACACTACCGCCATTTTGAAAACCGAAAAGCCCCTGGGGACGATGTTAAAACGTGGGTTGTTACCATGACAATTTATAACAACTACATGGTTTTATGGCGGCTTTGCTTGATCTCTTGATCGTTCATTCTTTTGAATTGCATAAATGTGTATTACTGATATCACCTTTCACATCACAAAGAAATCATCCCCAAGCAACTCATTTCCTTTCTTTCGCCTTTTCCGTGATATAGATAGAACTGGCAAGGTCGTCAAATTAGAGATGCAGTATTGTCGGCCATACCCCACCATTGTGCAAGTGAGCGATCCGTTGAAATGGGGAAACTTCTATTTACCCAGCTTTGTTGAGCTTCATCGTTGCGCTGGAGGCTGTCCTTTACATCCAAGTAAGTTTATTGGACGACCGTCAATAAATAATTCGCCCGGGATAGCGTTAATTTTGCTCTAAGAGTACATTCGTATGAGTGTCGTAATCTCTGAGCCAAGGTAATCACGACAACCAATCGATAGAAAGGAAAATATCACAAGGAACCAATGAGAACTTGAAGAAAAAGCGAGAAAACTGCTCGAAGCGCGTGAAAACGCGAGTAAATCTGATTGGTTAAGAAAATGGGGCGAGTTTTATGGATCGAACACTGAGTGGTGGTGGATAAAACCAGATATAAAGTAACCCAGAAGCAAAACCATTCTCACTCAATTGAACTTGCAATAATTTACTCTTTTATTGGTTAAAAAAAAATCGAGGGGGGGCCCCTTAGGAAGATTACAGAGCCTTATGGGGGGGGGGGAATCAGGCACCTCCCTTTCCCCCCACCCCACCCCTTATGGGCGATAACTAATGACCATTCTCGTACTTCTCGACTACAGAATACACGAGTTACTTATATCGGATCAATATCAGCATCTGGGTAACTGCCCACCTACCCATCCCTTAACCCAACATTAACCCTATCTTGTTATCAATTGACTGTTGTTGAGTTAGGGGAGGGGTAGGTGGGCAGTTGCCCAGATACTGATATCGATCCCCTATATCAATGCATTCTTCGTTTCAGGTGTTGGTTACTGCGCAATGACTAAAGAAGAGAATGTAACAATTCTTGTAACTGTGCATGGACGCCAAATATTTAATAATCAATTTCAAGTTGTCATGAGTAACCACACTGATTGCTCATGCGCATGTGTGCCACAAAAGTGTCACCCCGGGCAACGATTCAACACAAACCAATGTAGCTGCGAGTGCACTGATGTTAAGGATAAAGACAGCTGTCAATCAACAGACAACATGCAGTGGGACAAGAATCAATGTCGTTGTGTATGCAGTATCAGACGAACTTGCAACTTGGGATATAAATTTAGTTTTAATACGTGTCAATGTGAACCTGACGAGGAAGAAATTCTAGCAAGGCTGTAAGGTTACTTATGACCTCTGATTTAGGTAAAACTTGCTCTTGTGAAAAGTTATTTGCCGGAAATAAATGATACTTTTCAGACAAGTCTTGTCCTGTTTATGGTCTGAACTCGCATGAATGAAGACATTTCGCAAAGACATTTTCATAGTAATATTCTCCTTTGCAAAAATATGTCGGCTTGTCTAGATTCAAGGCTACGTCAAAAACAATAAAAGCTATGAACTTTGCGCAAAAACTGCTAAAAAAGGCAAACATTAATTGCACAAGGTTGTTAGAACCGCAAAAAGTTGCACCAGACGCCAAAAGTTGGTCAAAAGTTGCTCAGCGCAATGTGGACAGGCCTACACGTCACAAGATTCCAATTTTAAATTAGAATCTAGCGGGGTTTGATAAACAGGCAAACAAAGCGCATTATTGGACTTCAGAATATTCATAGTGCAAGTAAATTACTGTTTGTGTCCGTCGGAACAAGAGTTTCATACGAGCTGCAACGGAAGAGGGGAACGGGGGGGGCGTCACTGAATTTTCACGTATCCCAACTTTACGTCTTCCTTGATCCCCAGGTGGAAAGACACATGCACAGCTCAAGGCAGTTCATTTTCTTTGTACAGAGGGGAAAATAAAATGCTTTCAAAAGACCTTAACTACAGTAAGGTGTTTTACTAAGGCTCTCGACCTTTGAAACATTTTGTACTTTAAAGCACATTTCTCAAATCACCAAAAGCGCTCGTCTTCGCTTTCAGAAAGTTTTAATCCCCAGTAAACCGAACCAACTTGTTCAACTTTTTACCCGAAAAATCCGGCGCGTTAACCCATGTTTTTTCTTTCACCATACCACAACTATGCGCCATGTGAACAATCCGAAGGAAAGAAGGGTCTCTTTTTCTTTTCAAGTGAATCGCGTATCTGTACTCTGCAACTGCCAGTTACATTGACACATCATTGTACAAGTAAAAAAAGAGATGTTTGGATACATTACATCATGCATTTTTGTGCTTTATTTAACATTTACTTCAACTTTTTCCTATAATTACCTAACTATAAAAGTGAAAAAGAAAAAAAAAAGTTTCTTTCAACGTTAATAGTAAATTCCAAAAGTTTTACTCGAGTTCTATATCACACCTAAAATTGCGTTTTCAACGAGTTTAATACAGCACATTTCTTTTCCCAGCTCTTGGAACACATTTACATGTGTCTGGGATCTGATTTTCGTCAACGTTACACCTTGTTTTGCAGTTACACCGGCAATTATTGACGTCACGCTCGTGAATTTGATCATTACATCGCACGTGACATTGACATTCGCACGCCTCGTGCTCTATCACGGGGCGGGTGGGGTTTCTCGAATGAGGATTTATCACGAAGACGTCAATTGAACGCCATTTGGTCGCTGTGCAGTTCTGCCAGGCCAGACCATGATCACACGCGCCTTGGCAGCGATTGACCATTACAAACTGGGGATCATTTCGGACGTTTCCATCTCCATTTTGAACCGGTACAATTTTTGGGTAAAGCCCGCAACGAATCTCGGGCAGGATCTCCTTATCTAGGAAAAAACGTCAAATCAAAAGGAAGGAAATGATAAATATTTGTCTGGGAGACCAAAGGAAAGTATCAAATATTCGGTATCTGTATTTTTCTGAGGCAGAGAATTGATGCAATGGGAACCACCTTTGCACCACGACGAATTACCGCTGATCCAGGGTTCCCACAGCATATCTTTTGTACATAGAAATAGGGAAGAAAGTAAGTTTTGAGCTCTGCTGACCCTAGCAGTATGTAGGACGCGTATCATGTATGAACTTCGTCATGGGCTTAGCTCACCGTAGAGTTTCGGTGGCTCAGTGGTAGAGAATCAGAGCACGAGGTCTGAAGATCTTTTCCTTATGGGAACTCAAAATTTTTTCTTTCTTTCACACTCATAGGAAGACGAAAAACATCTTTCTCTGGCATATATTTTGTTCAACAGGGTTACTATTTTCATGACTAGAACATGCTGAACAAGAATTTTCACCTCTCTTAGTTTGTTTGAATGTCTTGAACCCAGACCTCTCTCTCTTTGCCATATCGTTAGGTTCCAGTACATCAATTTCTTCATCCTGAGGGGGGGAAAAAAGAGGAAAGAAATTTGAATAAATAATTGTAATCGTCTTTTTATCATACGTTAAAAATTTTTTTGTACCTCAGACTTATTAAAATCAGCCAAAATAAATACTGTGATAATGATATCATTTATCTTTCACTTTTCCCGGAAACGAAAATTCTCGCTAGCAGGCCATTTTCCAAGATGGCTTAAGTTGTCGCACAGTTGGAAATGTGTGGCATTGTTTAAATTTGGTTGTCTGGGTGAATTTCTCATCACTTGAGTTGGCATGCCAGATGCTCCCATTTCTACTATTTACCCCCGATTTCTGTATCAAAAGTTAGTCACGTTAGACAACAATTTTGCGGTCCAGACAGCGTCAGAAAAATTAAAAACGGCGTTTTCACACAATATAACGATCAACAGCAGCGGAAACATCGCTCACGCGCAAACAAAGGGTGTAGTTAATCCAGCTGAAATACTACTAACAGCGGTGACGTCATCTTCTTTGAAATGTAATGTCTTTTCCGTCGCACTGAAACGCTAAGCCAGTGTGTTCAAATTTTCAACTTTAAATAGCGCCCCGGTAAGAAATGTTTCAGATAATTTACCCAATTTTGTGCAGGGAGAAGACTTATCTCAAGGAATCGAAGTTACGCCTTTATAATCAGCCGAAGAAAGCTTTGATTATTACAGCTTCCCTTTAAACTTTTGAGCGAGCGAAGCTTAGAGGCCAGTTGAAAAAAAATACATCATACACCAGAAGTTGGGGGAGTGAGGAAAGATTTTGGCGGGATCACATGGTTTTCAGCGGGAATGGAGGGGGATTAGTCGTCGCTAACAGAATATAAAGGGAGGACCACCGAAAGTTGACAGTCAATGAGTAGGGATCATTAGATTACCGCGAAGCCTAAGGGGAGGGGGTCTGGTAAATTTTACTGTGACATAGGCAAAATCCTCCGACTCCCCGCCCCCACCCCCTTCCCCACACCGGTATATAATGAAAAGTGAATTAAAGGAAGCTGAACCACCATGTTTATTCATTTCCTTTTCCAGCGCTGTCTAAAACACGTAATTGAATTAAATGCAAATGTTTAATCGATCGAACGCAGCTTTTAGCGTTGCTAGGAAACCTTTCAGCTTACTAGTAACGTCCAATGGTTTTTTTTATTTTTTTTTTTATTTTTTTTATTTTTTTAACTAGAGTCGCGGTGAAGTTATATTAAGCTCTGTAACACACGCATTATCCCCTATTTTCAACTTAATTTTTTAATGTTCGGAAATTTAAACCGGAGATACTTAGGCTTAGGAAATTAATTTGACATTTGAGGCGGCTAATAGAGACATTTGTTTAGAACGTCCCTGTTTCCTAATCGGTTTCCGAAGTTTTATCTCTGCTTATGATAAGCAATAAATTAACTTCAACACTTTGCTGGAAAAACCAACAAAAGACTGAGGAAGCCAACAAAAAAGCAGGGAAGCCATTCAAAAGGGAAGAATCCTTTGTTCTTTCCACGACAAAATCTAACAAAAGAAATTTTAAAAATTGGATTCGCCATAACTGCTATGAATTTTTCTCCTGGGCTTCTTAGATCATTGAAAGGCGTGAGACAACAAAGAAATATGGATTATGGTAAAATAGATGCACAAAACTATGCAATAAAACAACGGTGCGCAACAGGTTTCCTGATAAAGTTGGAGGAGCGGGCAATCTTTCTCTTTCAAATTCACCCGCAAAAAAGATAAATTTTTTCTCTCGCCCAATTTTTTTCCTTTCATAGACTAAATTTGTTCCCAAACGAATACACCACGTGAATCGATTCATGAAATAACGAAGCCAAAAAGCAATTGTTACAAAGCGATTTCTGTTTTTTAACATGGGAGAAAAAAAAAATTCCTTATATGAGAATATTTTTAAAGAAAGTCACAACCCTTTACTCACCCCAAGATAGCTTCTTTCGCCAAAGCTTTTTGAAGCCAAAATTAGTGCAACACAAAGGGTCCAGCGGAAGAAAGTCTGAAAAATCATAGTTGTGCACCTCACCGTGGTATTAGCGGGAATGAGTCCGACTGGAGCGGATGTTCGGTCTTTGTAATGTAGGCTTTTATAAACAATCTGCTTGCATCACATGCTCACATATGGGCGTGCGCCACTCACGCACGCAAATGGTTTCTTACACGACGGGAACTCATTGTTTTAAAAAGTCAGGAATTACGTCTTATTTTGGCGGTTGAGATCTGCAAGGTGTCTCTATTGTAAAAAAAAATGCAGTTATTCAAACAACTGAAAACCGAGGGCCTTACTTTCTGATCGAAATTTATCTTTAATTGTCTAGTTCATCGTTTGCTACGAATATAACAAAGAGGTTTGTACTTTGAGTTTTAGTTCCCTAGTCTATCAATATAAATAGGCCTAATGCATTCTTATGTTACTTGCTCCGCTGAATAAATATGGTTGATTGTCTAAAGTTAACTTCCTCTTTTTTGGTCCTTATTAAAAATTAATTCGCGTTCGTTTTGCATCTAAGTGGGTGCTTTGGGGAATTTTTTTAAGAACATCAGCATGAAATTTTTCAATTTCAAAATTATATTGTATCAGTTCGGAGGGGTAAAGTTAATTCCAACGGCAGAAATTCTCTCAATAAAAGATCTGCTTATTTTTAACTGGAGAGAAGGGAAAGAGATTAAGACGAACTGTGTTCAATTCAGTTCCTCCTGCTATGTTTGGATTTTTAGTTCATCTCTTTTTAATTAATCTTAAGAAGAATCGTGTATTTTTCCAAAGCTGTGTAATTTAGCCGTGTATAAAATTTAAATAAAATTTGCGATATCTTAAAAGCAGCACACCATGTTTGTTTCATACGCACGGCGTGCTTAGGTAATGAATTTGCGCCGACATTTTGGGACAATACAATGTCCTAATAAAACTCATACTGTGAATTAGTCTCAGTAGGATTGTTAAACCAAAATACCTCATCTTGTTTTAAAACTTAAAATAGATCACAGATAATATATATCTCTACGTATATATATATATATATATTTTTTTGTTTTTCAAGCATATGTCCGATTCACTTTTCATTTTAGCTGAAATAACGAAGTAGAAAAGGAAGCTTTAATAAAGTTTCGATAAACTGAATACTCTTATATTCTAATACTAAGTTTTTATAAACTGCATTTTGAAAACATGACTTCGGATATAACTTCAAGCTGGTGTTCATTTCCTTCAATTACCAAACTGGCTGTTCTCGGCCCAACAGGAATTCGTTTATCAAAGTAAATATTTTGATAAGAATAATTTCCCTTTAAATTCTGTTTTATCGATTATAACTACCCTGCGCGGTTAATTTACTAATTCGAAAGAAGCTTGCGAAGCTATTGAGAGAGGTTACAGAAAACTGCGCCTGAAGAACAGCTTGCATGATCCATCACCATGATCAAAATATTTTTAAAATTCAGTGTTTTGTGTAATTTATCTGAAGAGGTGGGAGAACGCGTTCTCAAATGCCAAATTCTGATTAGATTAGATGCGTGGTCGCCGTAGTTCACCACAAAGTACTCGCAGTGAGATAGAAAATACCGGAAACTCGCGATAAGTGTAAAATGAACAAGTGTGGTTAAGTTTGGATGAGATGATTTAACAGGAATAACAATAGAAGGCCAGACTGCAAAATTCGGCTATTTTTTTCAGCCTCCAAGACTGAGCGAAATTACTTCCCGAAAACATTTTGCTATGGCGTAAATTATTGTTCGATCCAGAAACAAGCTCTAAAATGGTTTCTGTCTCTTCATAGTAATAAGGTTGTTTTCTCTTCAAGATATCATTTACACCATCTACAATTAACACGACAGCAGTGAATTTTTTTCTACCAGTGCTTGTAAGCGATAAATGTTCAATGGAAACTTAGCTGAAGTCTATTTTTGGTTAAAAAAAAAAAAAGAAAAAAAAAAAAAGCCGAGGATCGACATGCTGTTTAAGTCAGAGTCCTGTGGACCACAAATCAATCTTCATAAGATCCGTCAAGAACAAACAGTGTTCCAGAAAATTAATAGAAGAAATTCTGTCTTTGGTCAATGGTTTGTTAAATGGTAATCGAGAGCAGACGTCGTAATAAGCTGGAGATGCCTTGGGGCGAAAACAGGAAGCCATTCAATATTTTACTGCAAGCTGCGCCGCCGAGTAATTTTAAACGTAATAACTGGAATAGTCTGAAAAATAAACCATGCATATAGTCATATAATGAAAAAAACGGAGAGAGAAGAAAGAGTACCCCTAAGAAGTAGGAAAAGGAACAAATGAAATAATGATCAAATGAACAATAGATATAATAAAAAAAATGGGAAGAAAAAGTGAAAAACAAAGACAGCTGGTAGCAACAGCACAAGTTAATCCTTCCACTCCCAGATCTCATTAGTAATTCTCCTTACTGTCTTCCATAAAATTCTTATGATGTAAGTTTCGAGAATTGGGTATTCAATCACTTTTATCTCTTAATCGGTATTTTTCTCTATTCTCATCACTTGTCTGTCAAGTTAAATTTTATGGAAAAATTCTGTCTTGTCACTTGAGGGAGTTACAGCTTTCTGTACGCCGATACTTCAAGCTGTTAATTTTTTTGATTCATGCCTCTTCACGTATGACAACTCTTCATCACTAAAGCTTCTGTCAGTCTCCGGCCGCAAAAGAAGTTTCCTTTCGACAGCTGGCTGTGGTATCAAGTTATCATTGCTATGACAAGCAAAATCTTGCTCCTGTTTCCCAAACTCTTGTAATTCGCGATAAACCTAACTTTTTAAGAAATATCTTGAGAAACTGTTTTCAATTTGTATTTTAAATTGGCGTTGGGTTTCTAGTTTGTAAATCTTGATATATCAATTTGAAAAGAAAGATTTTCTCTGACTAGAATTACATTCAGACAAGTCCTAACAACTGTATATAAGGGAGGAGTTTAATTCGCCGGACGACGTGCTGTGTGAGGCGTGTGTTTCTGATTTGTAATCCTAGTTTGGCAGTTTCTAAGGGACGATATTTTGTGACTAGAATTTGATACTGAAAAACTTCATATGTAAAGCTCAAGTTATAAAGAGAATAGAGACAATTAATTAACGTTAGAGTCACCAGTATCACGCTAAAATTCATTTCAATATTCACTATTTTTCTGAATATCAACGCCTCACTTGCTGGCAGTAAGATAGAAGTTTATAAAGAATGACTGCACTTGCGACTCGTACCAGCTCTCTCTCAAGAGAAATTAAAACCGACTTCTATAAGGAAGTCTGAGACGTTGTCCTCAAGTTTCGCAGACTAGAGGTAGAAATTAATTTAATGGACCTAACGGAAGTTTCAGCTTGTATTACCTAGACCACTTAAATTTGACATGATTTAATCCGGCTAAAAACACGAAATCATTAAAAACTGAGTTGCGCGCTCCAGTGATTGGCCTGGGACGGGGATGATTTTTAGGCAGAGTAAGACTGGGGAGAGATGACTCGCTTTATCCGTTCGTAGGCGATTTTAGATAATATTTTTAGCCCGAGCATGAAGTTTGGCTCAAGAAGAAAAAAAACAAACAAAACAACTAGCAAAAAAATCAAAGAAACAAAACAAAAGCAACAATACTTGATGTTATTTCGCAGTCCAACAGTTGCGGTGGGCATCGATCAGTCCATAAATTTCAATCTGTTATCACTTCTATGGAATTTTTGGGTCTCTTGTGGTCTTTGAGGTATAAAAAGGAGCTTTTACTCTTAGAAGTGGGTGATGATTCCGTTTTTCCGAGTCTTTTCCTTAGCCTCATTAAAACAAAGATGGCGTCAACATTTCGCGCCCACGTCTTTGGATTGCGCAATTTGTTGATATCCCATAGTTCCCTGAGGCACTCAAGCGAGTTGGACAAGAAAACATGGAGGATTTGGCTGTGGAGGTGTGCGGAAAAAATGGGGCTTATTATAAGGTGAGAGCCATGAAATGAAAAAAATATCTCGGCAAAAATGTTGAATAATTATGGAAGTTTTATTTCCTAGGGTTATGTGAAGAATATTCACCAGGATCAAGTAACGATTGCTTTTGAACATGAGTACGTATGCTAAGATTTTGGCGGCGCGCGATTTTGCAATTGTCATTCATTGTTTACCTTTATACAATGTTTATCTTCAAATCCTTGGTTTATTGTTTTCGAACAGACAAAATGACTGCAGGAGGGTTCCCTATGAAGAAGTCCGTGTGCCACCCGCTTCAAATCAACGATGTGATCTATATGTGGACGATGAAGTTGAGGTCTGTGTAGGGAAAACCTGTTTTTTGTACCCGGGCCCCATGTGATAAAATAGCGTAAGGTCACAGGGCATATACTGACGTAAGGAAAGAGCTTGATTGCTTTCATTCACGGTGGGGTTGATTAACATTTCATATCAATGTCCTTAAATCACTGTGTTATTTCTGATTATTAGCAATTTTCTATGGCAAATTGATCCTCTAATTTGGTGCGATTGTGCAATAACAGTTCAAGTGTTAACCAGTTCCATTTCGCACATGTGGTAGTGTAAATTCAGTGTAAATCAACAAGCCCATGTGCAATATTTCGCGGTCAGATGATTTTTAATAAGTTTTCTCAGTTGTTTACTTTGAGATCGGGTTTTTCGGCGGTGACAGTTAAGTCATGTATATACCCTATTGTTCAACGTTTGGCTAATTGAGAGAGAAAATAACTCTTTGGCTTACGTCATTTTGAGAAATACTTGTGAAATCCTGGAAAGAGTCGTGTGTTTTTTTCTTTTTCGCCCCAATGAATGGTTTGGTTTTTTTTTCTCAATTCAAAAAGTTAGTATTAGCGAGGCAGTAGGGTGGGTTATTTGTCAAAAACACTGATAAGACATTGGTTCTCATACATCCTGATATCAGTATACATATCCTCCATACTGTTCTCTTTACAATTCCTAAAGTGCTGACAAGGAGAATTTATTTAACAATCAAGAGCTTTTTTTTAATTGGTGATCATTTCCTTTATTCTCATGACCTTAATGGTTGATTCAGGGGTAGTTTTGTAAGGAGAAATTAGATGCTAATCATTCTTATTGATCAAAGAGTTGACAATTTGACTCTCATTGCTTATTTGTAAATTCTCCTTACAATTTTATTGAACCATAAGGCAAATAGGTTATAAGAATAATGACACTGATCAACAAAGATATTTGTAAAGCTGTCAATAAGTTTGAAAGAAGGCAAATAAGAAATAGTAGGTGGCCAGGTTATCATGGATGCCATGTTTTTTTTTTATCAGATAATGTATTCAATTAATTGAGAAATCCCATACACTTTGTGAAGATTACATGCAATTTCAAGTAAATACTGAATGTGGAATTGATTCACACATTTTACCCTGTTTCTAGTTAATAATGCTTTTAATTCCATTATAAACTGGGAAATGGTGTCTTTACAGTTTTCTGGAGTGGCATTTCAATAATAGTACAATTTTTCATCAGTACCTATGTTGTGGCAATAGGAATTGAAAGCACCCTGCTAAATATGGCAGATTAGCTAGCAATTTTGGTGGGCTACTGGTTCTTATTGACAGCTCTGCATTATGTATTAAGGTTTTTAATGATAACTTTTTTACACCTTGATGTCAGTATGCATATTCTCCATACTGTTCTTTATACATTTCCTAAGGTGCTTACAAGAAGAATTTGTGAAAAATCATGAATTTCTTAAATTGGCGATCATTTTCCTTCATTCACATGACCTAAATGTTAGATTCAGGAATGTTACTGTAGCAAGAAATTAGATGCTTTTCACACTTGGGGTTTAAGAGTTAAAGAAGAGTTCAAAATTGAATAAGTGATGCTTGTTTGTTTATCAATTAAAGGTGTTTACTCGAGACGATGATGGGGAGCCTTGTGGCTGGTGGTTGGCCAGAATTGTTCACAAGAAGGGAGAGGTATTTAGCCTTACTTTTAATGTTTATTGATTTTCAAAAAATGTACATACAAATGTTGCCATTTGTAGATAGATCAAGACAGCTCTTTGCAAAATTCTTAAGGACCTTATTTAAAAGAATTGCTCTCTTGTTGAAACCTATCTTTCTCTATACAGGATGTTTTTATAATTTTAAACCTTAATGTTATACTGGATGCTTCTTACCTAGAAATTAAACCTGCAACCCAGATCACAAGGGATGGAAATTTTGCTTTTCCTGATTTTCTCTCCCTCCCCTCTTTCCCCAATGCAATGTTGACTAAATAATGTTTTTGTTACCAACACATATGTACTCTAGTAATATTTGACACTGAAGAAGGGAATGGATTTCCAAAACTTTCATTGTGGGTCACAGATCAACACTTGATATTTTTTCGGATGAATTTTGCAAAATGATGTGTCGAAGATCCTGATAATGTAGCCTAGATTTTGAACAAGTTCCCTGTAGCTCACTTGGTAGAGTTTTGAACTACAATATCAGAACTGGCAGGGTTTGCATTCCATAGCTTCAAATCCTTTGTCCAGTGCTCCTGAAAAATGTTTAACACCATGATTTATTTTGTTCTTTGTTGATCTAGGATGAGATACTGCAAGAATTGTGCCTGACCCAGTGTTTATTTATTTTTTTTTTTAGTTCTATGTGATTCAGTATGCTGGATGGGATGCAACTTTTAATGAGATTG